AAATCTTACCTCAGGATTCGTTTATGGACATAGGTCGAAATTTCCCATCCCCATAACTCGGTCAAAACCCATCCGATTTTTACGAGGCTTCGATTTTTATCCATGGTTTTCCCTCTAAATTAATCTGGCATTTAAATCTGAACACATAATTTTTAGTCGAAATTCATGTCCAAATCTTACCTCAAGATTCGTTTATGGACATACGTCGAAATTTCCAATCACCATAACTCGGTCAAAACTCAACCGATTTTTACAAAGCTTGGATTTTTATCCATGGTTTTCCCTCTAGATTAATCTGGCATTCAAATCTGAACACATATTTTTTAATTGAAAATCATGTCCAAATCTTACCTCAGGATTCGTTTATGGACATAGGTAGAAATTTCCCATCCCCATAACTCGGTCAAACCTCAACCCATTTTTACGAGGCTTTGATTTTTATCCATGGTTTTCCCTCTTAATTAATCTGGCATTTAAATCTGAACACATATTTTTTAGTCGGAATTCATGTCCAAACCTTACCTCAAGATTCGTATATAGACATACGTCGAAATTTCCAATCCCCATAACTCGGTCAAAACTCAACCGATTTTTACAAAGCTTGGATTTTTATCCATGGTTTTCCCTCTAGATTAATATGGCATTCAAATCTGAACACATATTTTTTAGTCGAAATTCATGTCCAAATCTTACCTCAAGATTCGTATATAGACATATGTAGGTAGAAATTTCCCATCCCCATAACTCGGTCAAAACCCACCCGATTTTTACGAGGCTTCGATTTTTATCCATGGTTTTCCCTCTTAATTATAATGGCATTTAAATCTGAACACATATTTTTTAGTCGAAATTCATGTCCAAATCTTACCTCAAGATTCGTATATAGACATATGTAGGTAGAAATTTCCCATCCCCATAACTCGGTCGAAACCCATCCGATTTTTACGAGGCTTCGATTTTTATCCATGATTTTCCCTCTAAATTAATCTGGCATTTAAATCTGAACACATAATTTTTAGTCGAAATTCATGTCCAAATCTTACCTCAGGATTCGTTTATGGACATAGGTCGAAATTTCCCATCCCCATAACTCGGTCAAACCTCAACCCATTTTTACGAGGCTTTGATATTTATCCATGGTTTTCCCTCTTAATTAATCTGGCATTTAAATCTGAACACATATTTTTTAGTCGGAATTCATGTCCAAACCTTACCTCAAGATTCGTATATAGACATACGTCGAAATTTCCAATCCCCATAACTCGGTCAAAACTCAACCGATTTTTACAAAGCTTGGATTTTTATCCATGGTTTTCCCTCTAGATTAATATGGCATTCAAATCTGAACACATATTTTTTAGTCGAAATTCATGTCGAAATCCTACCTCAAGATTCGTTTATGGACATAGTTCGAAATTTCCCATCCCCATAACTCGGTCAAAACTCAAGAGATTTTTACGAGGTTTGGATTTTTATATTTGGTTTTCCCTCTAGATTAATCTGGCATTTAAATCTGAACACATATTTTTTTGTCGAAATTCATGTCCAAATCTTACCTCAGGATTCGTTTATGGACATAGGTCGAAATTTCCCATCCCCATAACTCGGTCAAAACCCATCCGATTTTTACGAGGCTTCGATTTTTATCCATGGTTTTCCCTCTAAATTAATCTGGCATTTAAATCTGAACACATAATTTTTAGTCGAAATTCATGTCCAAATCTTACCTCAAGATTCGTTTATGGACATACGTCGAAATTTCCAATCACCATAACTCGGTCAAAACTCAACCGATTTTTACAAAGCTTGGATTTTTATCCATGGTTTTCCCTCTAGATTAATCTGGCATTCAAATCTGAACACATATTTTTTAATTGAAAATCATGTCCAAATCTTACCTCAGGATTCGTTTATGGACATAGGTAGAAATTTCCCATCCCCATAACTCGGTCAAACCTCAACCCATTTTTACGAGGCTTTGATTTTTATCCATGGTTTTCCCTCTTAATTAATCTGGCATTTAAATCTGAACACATATTTTTTAGTCGGAATTCATGTCCAAACCTTACCTCAAGATTCGTATATAGACATACGTCGAAATTTCCAATCCCCATAACTCGGTCAAAACTCAACCGATTTTTACAAAGCTTGGATTTTTATCCATGGTTTTCCCTCTAGATTAATATGGCATTCAAATCTGAACACATATTTTTTAGTCGAAATTCATGTCCAAATCTTACCTCAAGATTCGTATATAGACATATGTAGGTAGAAATTTCCCATCCCCATAACTCGGTCAAAACCCACCCGATTTTTACGAGGCTTCGATTTTTATCCATGGTTTTCCCTCTTAATTATAATGGCATTTAAATCTGAACACATATTTTTTAGTCGAAATTCATGTCCAAATCTTACCTCAAGATTCGTATATAGACATATGTAGGTAGAAATTTCCCATCCCCATAACTCGGTCGAAACCCATCCGATTTTTACGAGGCTTCGATTTTTATCCATGATTTTCCCTCTAAATTAATCTGGCATTTAAATCTGAACACATAATTTTTAGTCGAAATTCATGTCCAAATCTTACCTCAGGATTCGTTTATGGACATAGGTCGAAATTTCCCATCCCCATAACTCGGTCAAACCTCAACCCATTTTTACGAGGCTTTGATATTTATCCATGGTTTTCCCTCTTAATTAATCTGGCATTTAAATCTGAACACATATTTTTTAGTCGGAATTCATGTCCAAACCTTACCTCAAGATTCGTATATAGACATACGTCGAAATTTCCAATCCCCATAACTCGGTCAAAACTCAACCGATTTTTACAAAGCTTGGATTTTTATCCATGGTTTTCCCTCTAGATTAATATGGCATTCAAATCTGAACACATATTTTTTAGTCGAAATTCATGTCGAAATCCTACCTCAAGATTCGTTTATGGACATAGTTCGAAATTTCCCATCCCCATAACTCGGTCAAAACTCAAGAGATTTTTACGAGGTTTGGATTTTTATATTTGGTTTTCCCTCTAGATTAATCTGGCATTTAAATCTGAACACATATTTTTTTGTCGAAATTCATGTCCAAATCTTACCTCAGGATTCGTTTATGGACATAGGTCGAAATTTCCCATCCCCATAACTCGGTCAAACCTCAACCCATTTTTACGAGGCTTTGATATTTATCCATGGTTTTCCCTCTTAATTAATCTGGCATTTAAATCTGAACACATATTTTTTAGTCGGAATTCATGTCCAAACCTTACCTCAAGATTCGTATATAGACATACGTCGAAATTTCCAATCCCCATAACTCGGTCAAAACTCAACCGATTTTTACAAAGCTTGGATTTTTATCCATGGTTTTCCCTCTAGATTAATATAGCATTCAAATCTGAACACATATTTTTTAGTCGAAATTCATGTCGAAATCCTACCTCAAGATTCGTTTATGGACATAGGTCGAAATTTCCCATCCCCATAACTCGGTCAAAACCCATCCGATTTTTACGAGGCTTCGATTTTTACCCATGGTTTTCCCTCTAAATTAATCTGGCATTCAAATCTGAACACATATTTTTTGGTCGAAATTCATGTCCAAATCTTACCTCAAGATTCGTTTATGGACATAGGTCGAAATTTCCCATCCCCATAACTCGATCAAAACTCAACCCATTTTGACGAGGCTTGGATTTTTATTCATGATTTTCCCTCTAGATTAATCTGGCATTTAAATCTGAACACATAGGTTGAAATTTCCCATCCCCATAACTTGGTCAAAAGTCAACCAATTTTTACATAGGCGAAAACCATCACTCCGTTAAAACTCAACCGATTTTCATGAGGCTTGTCTTTCTGTACATACTTTTCCCTCTAGATTCAAAGATCTTGAAGAGAATTTATTTTAAATGTACCCCGGCAAGGGCGTGGTATTCTTTTAGTTCTCACATATTTCGAAGCCTATTTTTTAATACCCAGCATTAAAGCCAAGAAATTGTGTTTCGAATAGATTCAGCTTTTCTCTCCGAAACTGTAGATGAATTTCCTTCAACATTCAAGGCCAACTGAATGTTAACGCCACATTAACATTTATAGTGCCAGGAATATAATTTAAATGTCAAAGGAGCATTTATTTTGTGTGCCGAACTAAACACTAAACGCTGGCCATACGATTTGACTGTCTCTCGTCTGGTTAGATGCCGATTTTTATGAGCTGTTTAGGCTCATGTTGATGCCTGGCTTCATTATCTAATGCCTATTTTCACTTTTTCCAGCTTTAATCCTAGAATTTTGACGTGCGTTCGAGCTCTCTCGCAGGCAATAAAAATATTTTAATGCACATTTTTTACGGTTGCCTTCCGGCTGCCCCATTAAAAGGGCTGTGGGCACGTGAAAAATGTAAAAAACACACGAAAAAACAAAGAAGAAAAAAGAAATGTAAAAACAAGAAATAAAATAATAATAACTGAAGGCAAACGTGCTGAAACCCATACCATTCTTTGGATGATTATGTTTCAGATGCTGCGCTTGCCGATGTTGACTGCTCTTGAGGTTGTCCAAAACCTTTGGGTAGATGGCTTAAACCTCACGTAAAACATGGCCATAAACTAATTGAATATTTTAGGGCATTATCTAAGCCATTTATTGTTTGAGTTTCGCTTCGCTGCATTTCATTTGCACCTGTAGGCGGCACTTGGGGCACTGGAGGGGGTGCGGTTAGGTTACAAAAATGTTTGGGCAAAAAGGCCGAAAAATCCCCGAGCAAAATCTGATTTTATTTATTTATTCCATGCTTGCTTTTTACAACTCGACCAACAGACAGTTTGTGCCTTCTATGTTTTTTTATCCAATTTTTTGTTTTTTGCATTGTAATCTGTATTTTTTTATTTTTGGTCTTTGCTATTTTTGGTGTTTAATTTTTTCCGGCATTCATTGCTATTGCTCGGGGCTTCTCGTTTGCTATCATCAGCTGGTTAAAGGGATTTTACTCACCTGACTTTGAATAACTGACCCATTTTCCTTTTTTATTTTCGTTGTTGTTTGCCTTCCGCTTGCTGAAGAGTGCTTTCCAGCTTCGTGCTCATATTTGGCTTTGGTTTTCATTTCTGATTGTGTATTGTTTATTTCAATTTTCTAATGTTTTGATAGATTTTCGCTTGTTATTTGGCATTTCTTATGTTTTCCTGTTGTTTAATGCATTCGCTTCCTTTTGGCTTTTACCAAGCGTACTAGATTGTAAATTAATGAGAAGGGTGAGGAAGTTAGATGCTTTCGTCTTTTACTTGAAGAATGTATAAATAAATATTTACCTAAGCCCATTTTTGGCATGAAAAGTAAACTATGTAATAGATTGCTTAATAATATTGAGATCTTTAATATCATTTATTTATAATAATTATTTACCTTAAGAAAATTATCACTCTAAAATGGTTAGCAATTATTTAACTTTAACATATAGACCAAAGGTTGTTTCAAATCCAACAATATTGAAAATGTTATAACAACAAATATTAAATACAGGTGTACAGGTAACACTACAGGAAAAATAAATTTATAATTAAATTAATGCTTTTAGGACTTTAAACATTTTAGCCCACCTTTGTGCCATCTCCTATAACAAAATGTGCATTATGTGCTCCACTTAGCGTCCAGATTAAAACTAATAGCAAAATTTAATTAAGGAGCCGCAACATGCAGCAATCTGCAGCTCTCAGGGGCTTTAGTAAGCCGATGATGAGTATATGCTGCTTACACACACACACACGCGCTCACGCTTACAGCTGACACCAACACACCCACACACACACACACAGTATAGTTTATATACGACTTAGACAAAGCACAGAGAGGACTAGAGTCTGACCGCAGCCAAGTGCAGTGGCGGACAATAACAAATGAACCCTGTCAGAGCAGGACAATCACAATAAAGAGGAAGTGTAGTTGATGATGGAAAGGGGGCACAAGCGGAGGGGGCAATGGGCGCATATTGAGCGTAAAACCAAAAGATTTAGCGGTACATGATGCCCAAGATGGCTTTGCTAAGACAACATATGCCGCATATGTGGCGACAATTTATGTTGGTATGGAGACAACACGGTTGGCAAGGGTCTCGGGAGCTGTGGGGCTGCGAGTGAAGGCAGCATCATCAGGTCGAGTCAGCTCGTCGCTCGTCACTGGGGTTCATCTATCATGTCTGCAGTCTTTGCAAAAGATCAAGTCAAGTGGTTGTTCCGCACAGAAAGAAAACACATACATGCAAAAAATAAAACGAACGGAAAACAGCAAAACTTAACTCCATTGTGCCAAGTGGCTGTTTATGATGCCTGTCTGCCCAAGCAGCCCACATAACCCACACAACCGCGCCCGTTGGCCCAACACAGCCGGAAGTTATCAGTTGGCCAGGCCAAGACGACGGCTTAAAATGTAGTTAGCTTGCCATTTTGTTGCTGTTGTTGTTCCTGCTGTTGTTGTTGTCCTTGCACTCTTTACAATTTCTGCAGTGCCTAGAGACCATGCTCATTTAAAATACCCTATGCGAAAGGTTATTATAATTTTGCTCACAATTTTGTTTACAATTAGCAGACATGCATCTTCGACTTAGATTCTATATATATTATGTATTATATCTTGGATGACCCTTTCAAGAGAGGCGCCTTAAACGACTTGCGACCTAGCTACTAGACGAATCATCTTACCTCTCAATAGTATTAGGCCTTGTCGTTAATCACGTTAATCCGGTTAACAGCAACGAAGAAACCCCTCTCTGTATGCAAAAAACTTATGGCCAAGTTTAAGTTAGTATGGAGAGCAGATTAATCGAAAACACAGTGTATACCACAGGGATGTACATACATTAGTAGGATTTGAGGCCTGCTTCCTTATAACTCTCAAGTGGTTATAGCATCGGACATACCCTATTAGACAGGTCCTAGCGAAGCTAGAGTTCTGCAGCTGATGGAGTCGGGAAGTTCTTGATAAAGCTAGACAACCTGCTCACTCTTCAAGTCTGTAGCTTGTTACCATCGGTTGTTACCTTAGCCTCCAGTCAGCTAGCATAAAATGAAGTTAACACTAAGCACATGTTGTCATATATCGTAAATAGTACATATATGCAAGGGTATTGAATGTTCGCCAGTCCGAAGATAACAAGTCCCTGCTCCCTTCCTTTTTTTTTTTTTTTTTTTGGGATTTCAGCTCCAAGGCTTTGTCAACAAATGGTTTTCTTAAATTGTTTGCCCCTTGCCATTTTTTCATTTTAACTTGCAGTCAGTGTTCGTTGTTTTTGTTAGTGTTATTGTTGGCTGTTCGCCTGCACTAAACTAAATTTTTCGTAGTTTACAGTTTCCGCATTTGCCGTGGGACCCACAAAGCAAGCCAAACGCAATGTTCTGACCTGTGCCAATCGGCCAGGCAGTGTGAGGCCCGCCCCCGACCCGCCCCCGACCCGCGTTTGTCCTGTTGCTTCTTGGCTTCCGCTTCTCGTTCGTTTTAACAACGTTAATAATCTTATTTTGTGCCTCAATGGAGAGGAACCCTATTGTGTCTGGTAGCAACAAAAACCAAATATATGCATGTCCTGTTTATTGCATACCTTAAAATGCAATTTTCAGTGTTGGACAATTTTCGGTTGGTGCTCAAAAAGATTGCCCAATGATTTTTACTGCCAGCTTGGGGCAGCCTTTTATTTGTGGCAAGCGTCTCGTTGCTGCCATTGACTGCATATTATGGTAGTTGCCTGTGCCACGCCCACAGCCACTGCCCATTTGTGGGCAGGGTTTTAAATGATTTGCTGCCTGTATTGTTAGCAATTTCTTGATTTACCGTGCGTGCTTCAAAATAAACTTGTGGTCTTTGGTTTGAACTTTTTAACTTCCAGCTGCAGTTGGCTCAAATGAAAATATTGAAGAGAAGGACTGAGTAAAAACAGGGCGAAAGACAGTAAAAATAAATAAAACATCATGTGACCTGTCTCTGCTGGCAAATACTAAAATACTGTGCAAATATTTTTAACAAGGTTTGCATTTATGTGATTTTACTGAAGAAATAAGCACACACACACACACACACGCAATTGGCTATTAGTTTTCAGAATATTTTCAGATTTATTAAGGAATATTTTGAGAAAAGGCAGAACTAAAATGTTGCATATATATGCCTTGCCAAGGGGTGTGTTCAGTTTCCAGAGACAATATAGGGTAATTAGAGCTTAGCAGTTAGGTATTTAAAAATCAGACAAAGACAAATTGCTCAGCATTTATTTCTCGGGAAATTAAATGAGTAATTAAAAGCATATTTTTGTGAGTTAATCTTTATGATTGAATAAAATAAATATACATGTGTGTACACACTCTTGGCAGCACGCACACACGCACAAAAAAAGACGTCGCCAACGGATGGAAAACTATGCAAATAACATAGTATAAATAAATAAATAGGGTCCTTTGATAGCCGTACAAAGGATGTGTACACACTCAAAGAGACGCTTGTAAAAAGATGTTAAACGAAAAATTCATTCGTAATGTAAATGTTAAATTACAAATTTTGCCTTTTGCCTTTTTTGCCGGCCGTCGCTTTGGCTTTTGCTGCGTGGTAAATGGAGAGAGGGTGAGAAAGGGGGAGAGGGGGAGGGGGGATTACCACCCCACTGTCCGACTGTACTGGATTGTTAACCCTGCGGTATACTGATATTCCTCAATGTGGTTGCAACGTATGGCAAACACATTGAAATCCAATTAATGTAAATAAATACAAGAAAATCCCACATAAAACTGTCGAGTGCGTGTGTTTTCTTTTATTTAAAGTGAGTGTGGGTAGGCGTGTGGTGCGACTGTGAGAAAGGCAGCCATGGCTGGTGTGTGTGTGTGTGTGTGCGAGTGTGTGAGTGTACCCTCAATGCAATTAACGTAGCTTTTGTGTGGTCTCCACTTTTGGGCAGCTCTCAACGTGTTTGCCTCTTCATGTCTCTATCCCTCAGTTTATCTGTCGCTGTTTACGCTGTACTTAAGCCCAGCAAAAGCAAGTTAATCTGTTGCGATGTGCTACACACACACACACTGCCCCTCGTCCTCTCTACCGCTGTGCCCAACGGCTTGCCTTTTGCGTATGCCAAAAAAAAAAAAAAAAAGAAACACACTAATACAATTTGTTTGGCCACTTTTTTTTCCCTGTCAGGAGCTGTTTGTAGCTGTAGCAACAACCGTTGAGCAGTTTCCTCTCGTTTTCATTGCCCAACTAGATTTGGTTTTCTATATGCATGTCGCTTTCCCAAAGCCTTTTCACTCGTCCAAAAAAAAAAAAACGGGGTATGAGTGCCTTATCGGACAACTTGTCATTAACTAAATGCAGCTAGCCGAGATCTTAGGCAGTCTCTAAGTAAGTACTTGAAAGGTATTTAAAATATTCAACATGGCCTTTCATTTGTATTGCTTTCATTTACAAGCGCTTAGACAATATTTATAATTCGATTCAATTGGAAAAATTTCAGCTGTTATTGACAAATCATTTATTTGAAGAGCGCCTAAATGTATTGCAATGAATTCAACTGAGTTCGTTTAATAAAATTAAATGAATAAAATCTGAATAAATATTTATAAAATGCTGCAACTGTAATACGTTAAAAGCTTTACAATATATTTATTTTACTTTTTAATAAGTGACATGTGTAAACAGTTATGCAATATTAAAAGTTATATTTAAATTTTAAATATTGTTTAAATTTGGCAATAATTAAATTTGTACCAAATGGAAAAATGGCGTCATTAGGCCAACTTAATAACCAGAAATAAAAGCATTGTTTTTAGCTTAATGTTAAAAGCTTGTCAAATAAATATTACAATATGGAAATAAAAGTTTACTCTGAAGATATTTTCAAATATTTGTAAAAGCTTATATAAAAATACATAAATAATAATAATAAAAATGCAAATTCCCTTGCAAAGGTGACAAGTGGGTGAAAAAGTATTGCTAAGCTTGCTCTAAGTTTTTCATTTCTTAGCCTTGTGTTTTGCTCTCTTTACCGAAACATGGTTTCAGATCCGGCATTAGAAAAAATACATGACTAGAACAAAGCTTGTGAGACTAGAGCTGCGTTTGCAAAGCAGAAAAAAAGTATTCTCAAATAAGATTTTAATAGCCACGCCCAGAAACGTGGTAATACTAAATGAACTATATCTAAATTAATCTATTGCTCTATCTAGTCACAGTTAAAGAGCTACTGCCTTTGAAACAC